CTCTCCAGCTTGTCCAGGTCCCTCTGGATGGCATCCTGTCCTTCTGGTGTCTCGACCGTACCACTCAGCTTGGTGTCATCTGCAAACTTGCTGAGGGTACACTCGATGTCGCTGTCCATGTCATTGATAAATATATTGAACAGCACAGTACGGACCCCTGAGGGACTCCACTCGTCACTGGTCTCCATCCGGACATTGAGCCATTGACCACTACCCTTTGGCTGCGACCATCCAACCAATTCCTTATCCACCGAACAGTCCACCCATCAAATCCATGGCTCTCCAATTTAGAGAGAAGGATGTTGTGGGGGACCGTGTCAAAGGCTTTACAAAAATCCCCATAGATGATGTCCATTGGTTTTCCCTTGTCCACTCTTGTTGTTACACCATCATAGAAAGCCACTAGGTTGGTCAGGCAGGACTTGCCCTTGGTGAAGCCAAGTCTTGATGAGGACTCAACCATTACAGAGGTCTTCCACCATTCAGTGCTGAGGTAGCAAGTATGCTCTCCTGCTTTACAATGGATGTCTTTAGATATTGGTCTCAAATCTTGTGCTAGACTAGAGGAAATTAAGTCTAGTCATGTTTATTGCCACAAGTGGGAAAACCAGCTTTGAATGCCCCACCAGGGCAGCCTCAAAGAGGTGGGAAGGGGCCTTCTGCCCCTTAGGGAAACTTCCAGGCACCGCAAGAACCCCCTGAACACAATGTCAGGACATCTGACTATGTCAAGCCCATGTTAACCAGAGAACATCAGTGAAAGATTTGATCCTAAGCTCACTGGCATTAATTTGGATTATCAGGAACAAAATGTCAGGTGGTGGGGAAGCAGCACCCAGCAGGCAAGGCACTGCATTTTGCAGGGACAACTTACAATTGGCCTGCCGACCCAGTCATAGGCGTAGTCAAAGGTGTAGCCTTTCTTTTCAAACAGCTCTGTGAAGATGGTTCGTAAATAATCATAGTCTGGTCTCTCAAAGAAGTCTAATCGCCGAACGTAACGGAGGTACGTGGCCATCTCCTCTGTTGGAAAAGAGGAAAAAAGCAGCAGCGTCAGTACTGCTCGCACACGAGCTCCATCACTTCCAAGCCTCTCAGAATGACACACATGCTGGACACATGCTTTTTGGTTAACTCCAATGAGGCTTTCCCATGGCACTAGGCTCAAAGTTGGTGCTCAGAGTTGGACCGTGGGGCAGATCCCTGGTGATGCGGGTTGCCCAAGCTCTACTAAGTTCAGCTCAGCTGTGTGGATTGACAGAAGCTGAGCATATCCAACAAGTCTTCACCCTCAATGACCTATCCAACAGTCTTTTATTGCCAGATAAATCTCACTCAGCTCTCCTAGCCTGCCCAAAGTCTAGTAATAGCCTGGTTTTATTCTGAATCTTCTGAATGAGCTGCTGCAAACCAATGTCTGTGTTCTAGCATTGAGCATCACACTCAGAGAAATGTCTGGGCTGTCAGTGCTACCTCTGGCTTTTCTTATAAAAGTAGTGGTTTTAGTAATAGTCTGTAACACAAATCAATTCAAACATTTCTCAAGCAAAGCTGGAAGTCCTACATCTGTTCCAGAGAGCTGCTGCTCCACCTCAAAACCGAGTTCCAGAGTTAGTTTCATTCCATGCAGCTTGCATGTCACATTGAGGTAAAAGAGGGAAAAAAGGAGAAGAAAGGTAATTCCTTCTTCCTGCTAGTAACTCTGAAAGGTGGAGGACCGACAGGTTTCAGGCAAGCAGGAACAGAAATGAAGTTCCCTCATATCTCTTCATCCCAGACCTGCAGGTGTGACTGAGCTCTGAGGAAGGAGTATTGGGGAAAAAGATAAGAACAGTCAACCTGAAGCTGTTCTGCTTGGAACTAGGGGGGTTTTGGATGTGAATAAGTCTGGGGAATTAGAACAACTTGAGTGAACAATGATCCCTTTTCAGGCTTGCTGCTCCTCACGCCACTCTGTGAAGGCCACAGGGTACCTGGAGAGGGCTTTAACTTCGTACTCTGCTCTCCTAGCTCTGAGGTAGACTTTTGTTTAACTGGAGAAAAGATGTCGGGCTTAGCTAGAAGCACATCTTGAATAACACTCTCCTTACAACTGTTGTCAGGAGGTGGAATTCAATGACAGACACATCATTCTTGGACTAGATGATCATTCTAGGTCCTTTTCAACTGAAGCAGTGTATTATATCCCATCTTCTAAGCTGGCCACCTAAAATCTCAACACCTGTAAAACCTTCTGTTTGGAAGAGAATTAACTCAGTAGATCCAATACGCTCACTTGGGAGAGGGAAAACAACAAGGCCCTCTCTTGGAAGGAAGCCAAGAAGCAAAGCAGGAACACACAGCACTTGAGTATTGCGCAGCCTCCTCAATGAGAAAAGTTATGCTCATTTTAACTCGCAGCCACAAGCCCTCAGGCCCCACTAATTTATAGTGGCAGCTCCCATTGTCTGTCAGCTTGAGGAACAACATAACAGATACTCATCATCCAAATACTTTCTGCCACAGGAGCTCAGAACCATCGTATTTAACAAGGTATGTCCATCCGCACTCAGATGGTCCCATCAGGGCTTTACCTGGAAAGTTCTCACAGAGAACTTCAACCGGAGTGTTTCTCTTTGTGTCCCCAATCTTCTGATACCTCTCTTTTAAGGTGTCAGCCTGTAGTGCACAAAGACAAAACAGTTGTGGAGAAAGAGTTCAACTATGTGATAAACGACATGCTGTATGGGAAGAAAAACAAGGTATTTAATACCCATTCTGGGTGGCATCAGAAGACGTTACTTGTAACGGAACTCCATCCTAGACTACACTAGTTGGAATACCGTCTTACCCTGTTGTAATTCTCGCTGCATATTCTACGTGCGACAGGCAAAGAATATCTAAGGACATACTCAAAACATCTTCGGACACTTGTTAGTGTTTTAAGAGGATAATTTCTTACCAGCCCAGTCCTGAGGACTGTATAGAGAAGCTTTCATGGGACAAGAAAATAAAGCTGCATATACTGTGACTGCACATCAGTCCTAGGCTTAGAGCCACTGGCAACCTCCATGAACAACTGTAAAAGTAGATATTTGGGCACGTCGGGTTTTTACTGTGTATAACAGAATGCCACTATCGATAACTAGTCTACATCAGTCACATTTCTCCCAAATCCCATGCTACTCTTATACTACCTCTCTTTTCACCCCAAAGTGTCTATCACTTAGACTGCACTAATTAAACAGCTGGTCATCAAGAAAATGAAGCGATTTTCAGTTAGCTTTCCTACCTAAATCCCTCTTGAAGCAGAGAACTCTGCTCCAATCAGCTCCCTAAGAACAGGTTTTATTACCTTCATTTCAAAATCTGCCAATTAGACCTGCCAGCAGCATAATTAGCACTGTAAGATGTTCGCTCAAGAATTCAGCTCCAACAATAGAGACCAAAAGCGTAATCTGAGGAAACTTAGTAGAGTTAAGATGCCACATTCTAGATGAAGCTGAAGAGCCTGTGTTTGTTCTGGAGCTGAAAATACATAGGACTTCAAGAAGCAGTCGACTAATTCTTATCAAGTTCAGCACTGAACTGAGGAAATTACTTTGTAGAGTCTTGTCTAAACCTGGAATTGTTTTTGAACAATTTACATGATCAATTTAAAGCAGATGAGTACAACTAAGCCAGAAACAAGTAATGGAATAACACATACCTAGAGGCGTGAACTCAAAGTTGGAGAGATTCTGATTTCTTTCAGAATCACTTTCATGCTTGAAAAGCCCTGTCTTTGCTCTTATGAGTTGTCAACGTTTCTGGCATGTGTCTGATAAGGCTAAGCTGAGACTAATTCTGGATAGATGGTGACAAAGCAGCTTAACAAGGTCTATCACGCAAGCCACTGCCGCTGACCATAGCAACACTCTGCTGAGCAGCTTGCGAGCCCAAAAGCTTGTCTCCTTTTTCCCAACAGTACTAACAGGTCTGACAGGAGTTATTGTCTTTGTTAATAAACCTTCTCCTAAACTGATCACATTCGATCCCTTCACTCACTCACTGCAATTCCAAAGCTGAACACAGTTGTTTAATCATCACGAGAGTGATGGAGAAGTGAAGACGCAACTACCAAGAGCTTCAGAGCCAGCAAATCACTTGCTGCTAGTTAATTCAGCTGACGGACGTTAGCTGCAGTTGCTGTAACTCAGTTGCTTGCAGCCCTCCACATTGTACATGACATTTCATAAACTTCTAAGCACCGAGTGTCTGGTGTCTCTGGAGGGAAGCCAAGCTCAACACTTCTGTCAGAAAGCCAGTTTTTCAAGCTGAAGTCCATCTGCATGTCTAAAGCCATCAAACTGCTCCCGTTATAAACACGTTTCACAGATGCAGCGGCGGGACTGTGCCGTAACTGGAATTTCATAAACAGCCACTGTGTTCCAGTCGCACTCCAGCTTGGGGCAGCTACTGTGTTCCGGTCGCCCTCCAGCTTGGGGCAGCTTCACGTTACAGCAAAGCCCCGCCAACAGCTCAGTGGCGGTCTCAGTGCTGCCCCTGCCCCTCTCTTCTGCCTCTGCTCAACCTTCTCTCCAGACGTGTACCAATCAGCTAAGCTAACGGTAACTTGAAGTTACAGGTAACATATTTCTGTCTCAGAATCTTTCCTGTGGCTAAAGCTAACGTCTTGTTAGACTTCAAAGACACAAAGGAGAGGGCAGCTTTTCTGGCTGGATTTTGCAGATGTTTCCCCCATCAGATTCTCATTTGGGCAGAGACCAGACAAAGTTTCAAAGGGGAAAACCTAAAGCTCAAACCTACCTTCAATCCTTGCCAGGGCAGGCTGCCTCGGAGGAAATACATAAACATATGGCCGAGGGCTTCCAAGTCATCTCGACGACTTTGCTCTAGAACAGAAGAGATGACAAATTATTGCTGCAACTGCAGAAATGCACCTGAGAGCTGATCAGCAGCTACATGTATTTCTGAGATAAAACTATAGTGGTGAAGTACACTTGCTGTCTGTAGCTCAGACCTTGTGCAAAGATACCTAGAACCTGTTACAAAAAAACATAAAATACGTAAAGAAAAGATCAGCTAGAAGGCGCGAGACAACACAGGAGCTGTAAGACATACTGCCTAGCCTTGGGTAGAATGGGTAAGAGGTAGAAGTATTAATTGCAGAGGAATAAAGCAGTTCCCCAGTTCTCCTTCAGACTGCCAGCGCTGATGGTGCAACTGCGATGTGGAGTTGGATCACGTTATTTCCTCTAAACTACACAGGAACAGACAGGGAACGCTTGCAACCACCTGCAGGGAACTACCGTGTTGCACAGTGCCAGCCCTTTCCTAATTGCTTCTGCAGCTCCTCACATCAGAGCAGATCAAAAATAGCTCCTTCCAGCACTGCTTTTCCTTGTGAAACACTTGCTGCTGTTGCCATGCAGATGTTATGACTATAACTGAGGGGGGAAAAAAGGAGCCTCAAGCCAAAGGAAAAAGCATCCTTAAAATAATCTACCAAAATGTGTAAAAAAATCCCAAGGGAAGATACAAGACAGAACAAGAAATCTGGAGCGCAACAGCACGGGACTGCTGCTGTGCCATCCTGCAGACTTAGGTCCACCGAGCTCGCAGACCCATTTGACGCAACCTCCTCTCCTCCAAATCTCCACCTGCGGGCAGGTAGAGTGCTCCGAAGCCGCAATGTGGGGCAGATCTAGTCATGCAGCCCACATGCCATGGCCAACTGTGTGTGAGCTCTGCCTGATGCTGCATCATCTGCCAGAGGAGAAAACGGCAGCGCTTTGCACAGCATGACTCTCCTTCAAAAGCAGCAGCAATTTAACCCTCAAAAGATGCTGGGGACGAGAACATTCAGCAGAAGGGAACTGAGATGACAGTTTCTGCAGGTTACCCTGATGCAGCTGTAAAAAGGGGAAAAAAATAGGATGCCCTGGGTAATTTAGCTCAGTGATGCAGATGAACTTCTGGGGAAGATGGTTGAGTGCACTTGTCTTTCAGAAAAACTGCAAGCAGAGTCCTTCACTTTGCTCGGTCCTGAGCTGTGAAGGGAGCTGGGCTGCCCTCACCAGCAAAGCACCAGCCCTACAAAACCCCTCCGGCAGAGACAGCCCCTCGCACAGCTGGCAGCCAATCTTCCCCTCCTCAAAAACACCCACCCAGAACTGACTCTTCCCCTGCATGCGCCATGGCAGGGAAATGGGTCCTAAAGAAGGCACGTGGTGTACTTCAGACGCAAGCGGATCTTCTTTCTGAACCCACCCACAGAGCACATCCCTGGCACCGGCAGCTCTCGAGCCTTCTCCCGCTGCAGCTTCTCATTCCTCCATCCCTTCCTGCCTCTTCACCAGGTTTTCCAAAATTAGAGACTGGGCTCATCCTTCCTCACTCTCCAAAGAGGGCGAGCTCTCCAAGAGATGTGAAAACCAGCAATGCCTTGATCTCATAGCTGGGAGGCTACTCAGAGAGTATTCCATTATCTTACTGCTCTTATGAGTTTAAGTGAATATAAACATTTAACAAGGTTTTTTGCCTTTTGGCCATAGGAATGTAATCTTCCATTATGAAAGAAGGCAGTGAGGAGAGGAGATGAAAGGCAGGTTTAAAATTAGTTAAATCATTAATTTTCTCTAACCAATTATTAGGTCAGGGAACATCCAGCTCTAACACCTGAAACTGGAAGGTACCGGTACAGAGCTGTGCTATAAACATCTATTTGATCATCATTTAGTGTGGCAATTACTACTTGCCTACTTGCCTTTTATCAGGGCAGGGTTGCTACCAGTTATTTAGTTCCTAATAAAAACTATAATTATGGGGCTTCCAACATTTCAGCTGTCTCAATTCCTCAAAAGGGGAGAAAAAAAGCGCCTCACAACTGCAAACAGCATCACGGCATTGAGTGGCTTATAAATAGCTTGAAGGGCACGAGAGAGCCATGAGCCAAGCTACCATCGGAGGTCTACAGGACTCGGCCTGGCAAGCTCCCGTCAACCACACAGACCTTTGCCCAGATGAGTGTTGATGGACATGTATCTCGCCGTTCCAGTTAAGCTCTTGTGTTCCCTGTAAGGTATGTGTTTTTTGGTTTCCGGGTCAATGTATTCCTTCGCCAATCCAAAGTCTATGATGTGAATGACGTGCTCCTTCTTATTGCCTTGCCGGCCAATAAGGAAGTTTTCTGGCTTGACATCTCGGTAGATGAGGTTCTTTGAATGCACGTACTCCATTCGAGATATCTGCAAAATGACGAGGCAAAAGTTATTTGTGAGCAGACCAGCTACCGCACCCTCCTGGCTAATGAGGCAGCAAGGCTTTGTTAGCCCATCACGGAGCCTCTGCTCGGTGCTGTCTCAGATTTCAGCTACTTTACAAGAAACACAACAACAGATGGAGCAAACCGAGGCAGAAGTTACGATCCGAGCTGGGTCACATCCTGCCATGCAGAACTGGAAGAGGAATTTGTCATTCCCTCCTTTCTCTGGCTACTGCACTGTGCTCCCCGAGTTTATTCCTACAGAAACAGCAAAGGCTGTTTCTGAAACGTTACCAACAGAACACAGCTTTTGGAAGGATTCCACCGGGAATTGCAGCAGCCTTTTTGTATTGATTTTAAACATACTAAACCGGTTACCGAGAGCTCTTCCCTTGCCCACAGCCTTCCCTTGTTGCTCTTTGTCTTACCACCTTCCTCCCTCGACCCATATGGTGTCTTAGGCACGCCAGATTCTTCATGGGGGGGGATTTTTGGGCAGGCGGAAGCCCTAAGAACCTGAGCGCTGACTAAAAATTAGAATTAATCTCATCGGTTGTCAGCTAGGTATGGCTGGAATAGTTTTCAGCTTCTGACTAACTTTGGTCTGGCAGTACAACAGAGAAGGGAAGGTAAAAGGGTGGGAACCCCACTTCCAAGGTGACGGGGGGTCATTTCCCCTCTAACAACGCACCTTATTCAGATGGTCATCATTAACATTGCTTTTGAAACTTGATATATTGCAGGTGAAGTTGGAGTAGGTTAGCAAGCAGTTCTTCTTTGAGTTCCTAACTTACTAGATGATTCCAATTGGAAATAATTCACAATTTCATTTAATTTTTTACCTTTTAATTTTCCTTTATAGGTTTTAAATGAAAACTTGTGAATTCCCACTTATGGCTGTTTTGGTCCATGACTGCCCTGCATGCATGGCAGATTTTTTAAGCAAGATCCTTCTTTGGAAAGGCCATCTGCCCATTTGCATGCAGGCTTGCGACACTACAAAACCACTGCAAAGCTCTCGCAAACCCCACATTTTGCACTAACGAGCGTCAGTCCGCAGAGGTCACTGCCACACCGTCGGGGTGGACCTCACAGCGGGATGCTATCAGATTTGGTGAACATCTAAGGTGACAGCCACAGGCTGGTCACCGCCCAGGGAGCTCCCTGCAGGGGGTCACTGGTTGCTAGCCGATTCCCCTGTCGAGCGGCTGCCCAGGCAGCAGTAACCTCCCGTCAGCCCCTCCAGTCACCCTGCCTGCCTCGAACGTGACCGCCCAGTCAGGCTGATAAGACCCCGACTGCTCTTTCGTTTCTTGCTCTGAATCCAGACACATCCTCAGCTGGCAAACCCAGATCTCTCTTTCTCTTCAGAGCTCTTGGATTCGCACCTGGCTGAAAGCTCCACGCAGATGTGATCACTCCATCCTGCTCACAGAGGTTTATCAGACGCCTTATTTTTACAGAAAGCCTGCTGCATTTCCACTGGTCGGAAAGAAAGAGGCGGGAGGGGGCAGTACTCCTTATAAAATAAAAAAAGCTGCACAGGAATGGCAGGAGTCAGGAAAAAATTGACTGCAGGTGAATCAGTTAAAAAATAGGATTTGCTCAAAGGCTCTTCAAAGAAGGTAACAGCACGCGTTGCCATTCCCCTCCTCTCTAAGTAGTAATTTATTTCAATGTGCTGAGAAAATGGGTTTCACGGCTAACAGCCATTATTTCTAATCAATTACAGGATGATGCAGAACAGAGCAGATGCTCTGCACTTCAGCCGTTCTTCTCGCTTGGAATCACCTGCAGGACACAGCAGCAGGTTGGAAGACAAAAAGGTATGTCGGGAGGCAATTCAAATTAAGATGCAACCCTTAAAACTGGAACAAAGCGTTTCCTCGCCTCTCCATACATAATGAGCTTTCAAACAGAGCCTGACTGGCTCATTTGATTTGTCTCTGCCACCAGAGAAGCTCAATTGTCAAAATGGCCAACTGCAACTATGCAACCTGAAAAAAGTCTGTTTTTTTTGTTTCTTAAAACCTCAGAGCAAGTCGCGTTGGCCAGGACAACAACGTGGACAGTGAGATGTCAGATGAAGCGATACACTCCAGCAGCACTTGGAGGTACTTATTTATCTGCTTTTTTTTTGCTTCCACCACACATGCACAGATGCTGTTGAGTCTTTCACATTCCTTTTTCTTTACTTCCGCCTGCCTGGACGCCTCATGATGTGCTGCCAGAGAGCTGCGCACAGCCAACGATGGCTGAAAGACGCTCTCCAAGTCAGAAATATGTTTCCTGAAGTAGCCTTCGTGCTTTATTCACCCTGACAAGACACTCACCCTGCTTGCAGCTGCTAGGGATGGGAAGCTGGTGACTACCTGTGCTGCACTGCCCTTCTAGGCTTGCTGCCTGAGCAGAAACAAGCAGCGCTGGTGCAGCACGACCTTGGCCTGACTCAGACCCATCGCAGAGCTGAAGAAGCGCAGGAGTGGAGTTTCCACTCCAGAAATGTGCTGGAGGCAGAGACACAGTGTCCATTCCTTTTTGTCTGAACTGCAGGCTCTAATGTTCATGACTTAGTTCTTCTACGGACAGAGAAACCATTGCAAGGAGCTGGGACTAACTGCCGGAATTGCTTTCACACTGGAAAAACAGTGACTGCGAAGCAGTGTTAACACCTGCCCTGTTATTTTAACAGTATTAACAGACCATGGCATTTTATCGTAGGGCACAGGAACACTAGGGCTGGATGGGAGACTCTGCTTGCGAACCGAAGCAGGCCATGGCTGGCCGAGTCCACCTTCGGAGACACAAATCTCCATTTCAGACGGAGGGACCCCTGGGAGGGAAAGCATCCCCTGGCCCACAGCAGGACCCCTGTGCTGTTGCTGAGAAATGAGAGGATATTTGTGACATTTAATGAGATGCCAAAGAAACCCATGCTTTTATTTTCCTTTCTCCTGCCAAGGAAGCAAGCGTAACAAACCCTCTTTCCCCAAAAAGTTAACTCTTGAAATTCTGATCTCTCCGGCAATCCCATCTCTAGGCCTTCCTGATAAATCCGAGCCCTTCTTCCACACGTCACTTGCTTGAATATAGATCAGATCAGCAGAGATTAAAAATTCCTCCTGTTTAAAGGCTCTTTTGGTGTCTCTTATGCAAGACAATTTTGATGGTCACAAGTAAAAAACTTCACCATGACTTGGTCCAGATCGCAGCCAGAAGTATTCGCACAGTGCCTGGCACAACAGGCCTCGTCTCTGATGGCGAGCACTTAAAGCAAGGGTGAAAATAACGTTTATTCCTGACAAAACTGACTTGTCAATGAGCATTGCACATGTTGGACCTGCCCAAGAGTGGAAAAATTGACACCAGAATACAAAACATTCTCCCCCAGCCCAAACACCAAGTCAGCTCCACAAAGGCCTAAGATGACTTCTGGTTTATGGGCTTCGGGGACTCATATTCGTGAACACATTTTTAATTGCCAAGCTTTGCCTCGTTCAGGAACGTCAGCCGCTTGATGTATTCAGCTGCACACGGAGGATGGAGGAAGCAGTTCCAGTTTGATGCTCCCCTCAGAGCAACGTGAAGCATCACAAACGCACAAGTTACAGGAGTAACAGAGCTGGAAAACTTCCACCAGGGAAGGAAAAGGAGAGGACTCTTTCAATACAGGTTTCACCAAGAGGTATGAAACAGTGCATCAGAGTAAAAGCGCTTCTGATTCGACTCAAGCTGTGTTTGATAAGCTGCTGCCGCAGCTCTGCACACAAGGCAGAAGCACATGCAAGCCTAGTGACAAACCTGAGGGCTGTGTAGCTCATCCCCCTGCGAGGCAGACCATCCTACTGTGTCATCTCATCTGAGAAGACTCCAAAATGGGCTCTCCTTCCTTGAAGACTCATTATCGTCCAATCTCTATCTCCCTCAGCCAGGAGAGTCTTCTTGACATAAAAGCATGTTTAGATTCCCCCATAATCACAAGCAGCACTCCTTAAAACAACGATGATACATTTGTTTCTCCTAGAGGGCTTTTCTTTCTTCTAACATCTGTAGAGTTAAAGGATCTGCGCCAGTCCTGAGAAGCTGCTATCTTGCAAGCTAAGCAAGACCAGCCAAGCATGTAATGCTTATTAAAAAACATCTTTCAGGGATGCCTCTGGTTAAAAATTGACCAATGGACATCAGAAAAGGAGATCAAGCGCCACCACATCGCACTCAAAGTTCGTGCCTGGTTTTAGCATGCAGCACACACACGGATGTGTCAGAGATGTGCTGCAGCAGCGGTCAGGCTTTGGGAGGGAGCAGGGGAAGAAGGCGGCCAAACGGGACCTTGAAAGCAGCAGCTGGCTGCTTGTCAGGCTGAGCCTGCACCACGCAAGGGCAAGGAACCACACAAACAGCAGAGAAGGGACTGGATGCTCCTAAAGACATGGGGTTCATTACGTGCAAGTGAGGGGAGAAAGATCTAGGGGACAACGGGGTGGACACTTAACATCCCACTAGCTCAAGGCACCCGAGATGCCAGCGTTGCTGCTCCAACATGTACAAAGACATCCACGGCAGATTTTTCCTTCCTCCCCCTCCAGAGAGGATCAAGCCCAAAGCAGGAATAGAATCTTACAATTGTTTAGGTTGGAGGAGACATTCAAGATAATCTAGTCCAACCATTAACCTAACGCTGTCAATTCCACCACTAAATGGAATAGAGAGGCAATGCAAAGGTGGCTCCCAGCAATGGGTTCGTCTCCTGGGAGCTCTCTGATGCAGAGCGGCCTCCCAGACGAGTCACACTGCTTTTTGAGTGGTCTTCCTTGGCTAAAAAGATGCATCATGTCATTTTGGTGAGAACCAAACCGGAGCAGCAGTTGTCTGCAATGTGCTGAGCTGTCCCTCACTCCCTCCATCAGGGCAGGGTGCTCCTCTCTGCTGTTTGGGCGGTACCAGCCCATTCATGTTTTTGGAAGACTCCCTGGATATTAGGCTTCGTTAACAGGTGTGTCAAGCATCATAGGAGAGAAACACTGCTTGTCCAAAGCACTGGATTCTGGCAGTGAAGTCCTACATCTCCTCATGCCTGCAGTCAGAATTACAGCAGCTGAAGCAGGCTTGGCTGGTCAAAAGCAAGAGTGAAACATAATTTATGGAGGCAAACCCACTGCATTTGACAGTTCAACTTTCCTTCTCTGATGTGTCTCTGACACTGGACTGCTATGGTTTAGTGGAAGACCTAAGATAAATCCAAAACAATTTCCCTCAAAAGCCTCGTGTCTGGAGAGGCGGCTTTTCATTCCAGTCGAGCAGTAAGTGCCAGCTCCTTCACAAAACACGTCTCTGAGGACCAGCTGAGCCCTTCTCCCAGGAAATCTCTCAGGGAAGATTGAGCACACCTAAAGATGCTAAATCTGTCTCCTTAAATGCATACACTCCAAGCCGGTAATTAACGTGATGTTCTTGAGTAGATTGGAAAGGTCCCAAAGAACCTCCCCATGGAAAAAGGAGCAGCACTGCCTGCTCCTACTGGAGAACATCAACTCCTCCATTTGTGACTGCTTTAGGTGTCCCCCCACATCAACCCAAGCATCTGTTCTTCAAACTGGTACCAGTGTCTAGATGAGCTGGCAGGCCGGCCGAGGTCACGAGATCAGCAGATGATGCCAGTGAAGACCGTCCAAGTACAGAACTAATCTGCAACCGAAGGGCTTGGCAAAAGGCAGAGGCAACCTGCTGTGACAATCTTGATTTCCTCAGCAGTCTCACGGGAATAAATTTCCATCTTTACATTTTACCTCTTTACAACCAAAAAGTCATATAAGCTACATCCAAGGCTCTGCCATCTGTTGCCACTTGATTTAACCAAAACCAATACTATAAATTGGTTTTCCACTGATGAAGGAACACTCGAAGCCAACAAAACTAGGCTGCTCAGCCACAGGAGGACAACTTCATGAACTCAATACCAGGCAGACGCTGTTCAAATTTCTGCATCTGTGACCTCAGTTTTCCATTTGAGATTCTGCTGTGGCAAACCAGTTTATTTAGAAAGGATTGTGCTCCCTACTCCCTTACCATCTTCATTTCAACTCTTCTATCCACAGATCCATTAACGCGAATACACAGTCCCACCTCTGCTGTGCCACATAAGTATCTGCAGACCATGGGTTGGAAAACAGAAAGCCACACTAAAATGATAACTGATCAGCACTACCCACTCGTGGAAGTTCATTTACCACATTTAGTATGTTCAGTTCTCACGTCGTCCACTTTTAACGCAAACACAAATCCAAGCTGCCACTTTCAGCTTGGTTTCATTGCCTTTTCAGGCAAATTAGGGGCTCTGTGGTGCTGCTCATACATCTACCAGTTTCCAGTGGTTAGTCATTTAAACCCATTGGCCAGTTTTGACCAAATTTGACCAAGGCCGAGACCTCGAATGTTGGTATTTTGGCTAAGCAGAGCTCACCTCCCACCGCTCTGAGAGGTTTCAGTCTATGAGCAGCCCGGTAGCACCAAACCAGTAAAACTGGTAGGAGTGTGGGAGGATGCTGTGCTCCCTGTGTCCCAGGGAGTGGGTAAGAAACGAGATGTTCTGGGGGTTGTCCAAACAGAGGGAGGGAGCTGGGGTAGATACTGGGGCAGGAGTGTGTAGGGGACACAGGACAAAGTCCATAGGAATCCAGCTTCACTGGTTCTGCTATGCAAGGAGCAAGTTTGCTCATAAGCAAGAGTTATTCTCAAACTTAAGAAGCTTTCTTTTGTAAGAAAGATGGAGAAAGGCTTTTTACCAAGGCCTGTAGGGACAGGAAAAGGGGCAATGGTTTTAAACTGAAAGAGGGTAGGTTTCGACATAAGGAAGAAATTCTTCATGAGGAGGGCGGAGAGACACTGGAAGAGATTGCCCAGAGAAGCTGTGGATGCCCCATGACTGGAATTGTTCAATTGTTCATGGACAGGGCTTTGAGCAACTTGCTCTAGTGGAAGGTGTTCCTGCCCATGGCAGGGGGGTTGGACTAGATCTTTGAAGGTCCCTTCCAACCCAAACTATTCTGTGATTCTACGATGGAAGGAGATTTTCTCTCCAACCAACAGACACCCCTGAACCTCACACTGTACCAACCCCGTCCTTCAGCTACACCAGGACTGACATAAACATGGGTCGGCATTGTGGAGGCTCCTGGTCAGAGCCCTGCCCACTGTTACTCACCAGCTGGATAGCTATCATTAATACCGTCTTCAAAGTGAACGTCCTATCACAGAGGTCAAATAAATCTTCCAAGCTAGGACCAAGAAGCTCTAGTACCATGGCGTTGTACTTTCCACACGGTCCGAAGTAATACACCTGGGGAAGCCCTTCAGCTGGAAGAACATGAAAAGAAATTAAATCAGTCAATGGGACAATGTTAATACCCTTCCTCCTAGGTGTAAATCTGTCGCTGGGCAGAGCCTTTACATCTACCTCTCGAGTGTCCTTTCTGTTTGTTCTTGCCCAGCAAGCAAATAAGTTTCAGCACACACTGTGCATGAACCAAAGGCCAAATCAGTGCAGGCTTTGCTCAGCTTACACCCTGAACAGACAAAAGGATTTCAAAGCAATAACATGACCACATGAAAGCATCTAGCTTTGGCAGCGTAAACGCTTCGATTTCATGTAATGAGACACGGAGTTCCCTATGTTGCACTAAACACCAGGCAGAGAACAAACCCAAACATGGGCTGGCACTCGTCTGAGCAGTTAGGAAGAAGATAGCCCTTGCAGAAAGCGAGGCACGTCCAAAAAAGGGCTGCTTTTTCAACCAGGATAATACATAGTTGTTTTTCAGCACAACCTTACACAAAGTTTACTCTTATCATACTTATGAGAAAGGGGAAAAAAAAAAGTTTTCCTTCAGAAAAGAGCAAATTTTGACCCATCACCATGTAAAAATAAGCAATTGTAGTCATTAAGCACATGTGCAAACCCTTTTGCTAAGTCACACAAAAATTCAACGCCCAACTGGTAGGAGTCAGAGCCTACCCTTCCCACCCAACAGCTCAGCAACACACTTCTCAGCAAGAGTACGCAATATTCATACTCAGCTGACAGCGGCTTTTTGCGTGGATTAGCTTTCTGAAAGGCACCAGAAGAAAAGATAAAAAAAAAACAGCCTTGGTGTCTGGACACCCACTGAGCTGCACAGCACTCCTTGAATTACCTTTTAGTCAAAAAGAAAAATCAGATAAGTCCATATGGGGGGAATTCAGAGCAGAGCTAACTGTAAATTTTTCTAATCAGCATCTGAAAAAAGCACTCCGCATCCCGGCATCAGTACCAAGCTGTGTAACACTTTTTAAAAAAAATATATTTCTAGTCGACATCTCATAAGCAGTTCCAAAACACAATAGAAGGGTATTTGTTTTGAAATACGGAGGTTTGTCCTATGTCAAAACATTATCTTTGCTTCAATAGCAAAGATACAATGCCCTGCTACTCAGCGTACAGGCTCAGCACGGGGAGTACTACCATGTACACAGCCTTTTTGACAAAGTTGCACAGAGGACTGTAAATTATACAGCATGGGACCTCAAAGGATAGGGATTATAAATTTTATGGCATGTTTCAAGTGAATGCATACATGCACCTACATTTACATAAGAGATCAACATTAAAAATAGAAAAAAACTTCACTAATTATCAGATCCCAGAATGAAACTGCTTGTGTAACTGCACGGTTTTGTGTCTGCTCTGTGGCGCGCTCAGGCAGCCTAGCCCAACACAGGTCAAGGCAGTAAAGCAGGGGAACACTACGGCTGGAGTGTGTCAGCAGAACAATAATTTTATGTCCTACTACAGATTCAGGAAAGCCTCGTTAATCTGCCCACCGGCACTCATCAACTTACCAACAATACAACAAATGCGGCACTGAGATTACTAAAGCTTAAATATTACAGAACTTGTGCTCCCATGTATTACTCAAAAAGAACAAAATGCAGCTTGACAAAGATTACTGTAGGATGGTTTTAATCTTGTTAACTCACATGCTCGGGGAATCACATTAGGTATCAGTCATCAGGACGCATTAATGAGATATTACAGAGCATTGCAGGAATTCCCAGTCTAACCGGAGTTTTACATCCTATGTAAAACATTTACTCAGCCTGGTCTTGGGAGGCTACTGCTCCTAACAGAGCTTCATGTTTTAGAAAGCATTAACAGCACTTAAGTCCTCTAAGAAAACAGGATGGTTTGATGCAGAAGCAATTCAGAAAGGCGAACAATGACAGGATGTGACCCAGGCATCTCCAAATTGTTTTTAAATATCCCCAAACTAACATAAATGATAATTTAATGCCATCAGCTTAGTGTTGAAGGCTTACATAATTGCAATAGCTCTTGAAGTAACCCATGGTGAGCCACTGATTTTCAGTAAAACCTGATGAGGACTTACCTACGTTAGCTCTAATACCAAGATCATCATCTCTACATTTTAGAGAATAATAGAAGGATAACAGGGAATAATAGAAGAGAATAATAACAGAATAGTCTATGGAAAGTTTAAAACTGAGACTCTTATAAATTCAGGAGACAGATATATACAGTGAGTACTTCTACCACAATTTCTACACCAGGATAACAGTCTTGAGAAGTGCAAATCAAGAAGGAAACCACTTTGATTATGAGTGTGCTAATTAAGGAATATGGGAGAATAAAATTGCAGAAAGGCTCTTAAGGAAGGCGAAGAATCTCATTCCCAGAGCAAGGGGAAAGGAGTCCATTTACAGCCTTACTTGGTAAAGAGAGAGCACTGCAATTAAAATTAAATTCCTACTGGACGTAAGAACCAGGAAGATAGATTGCAGCAAGACTCAAAAGATCGGGATTTCAGGTAGGAAAGGAAGCAACACAACTATTTAGCGCTCTCTGGGGTGCCAGCCCCTCGAGTTAGTTTTACCCACTCAAAGCCTTACAAGCCATGAGCTTGTAGTACCATTCTTGGCTTTAACCTCAGGAAGGCTCTGCTGTAGGTGGGAGCTCCTGCAAGGTGAAGCTGTAGCAAAGAACATTAAAAAAAGCATCCTAACTGCCAGCCTATAGAAGACATTATTAGTTTCAGGCATATTTTTAGGATTCGATTTTTCTCTGAGGGTTTTGAGCAGCAATACCGCCAGCTCTGCAGTCAAGAACTTACCTACTGGCTTTGTTAGAATAAAAATGCTGTAAAATATATCTAATTTTCAGACCCAGGCTGCATTGCCCACGCATCCTGGACCCAAACGAGCATCACTCACAAGCCCTTTGGAGCTTCCCAGCCCAGGCCAGGGCTCCTCAGCTCCACTCTGGTTACTGAAATGAAGTTATGAGGGACACAGGGTAATGCACCCTCAGCTCACTCAAACACAAGTCAAAGTTTAGTATCATTTTAGGAAGGGGTAAAGCTTGAAAGAGAAGTTGTAAGCTTGATGCATATACTAAGGCTTTATGTCTGCAGGATCCAAGGAGGCAGATGAGGCTAGATGATTTCAGAATGCTTCTCCGCAAACTTGAGATACAGGCATCTCTGGACCTGTTCTTCTTATGAACAGTAAAAAGGGGCAGCCTAAACGAATGTGCATAAAATTTTACTTATTCACAGCCCATCTGCGTAATTCAGAACGCAGCTTGGCTCTGTTTCAGCAACAAGCAACGTGTCCTGGTCCCACTGAGTCCATTGCCATGGTGAATCACAGGAACTCCACAAATATCACCAGCAGATCTGTAAATACTTCAGGACGTTGCCAACATAAGAGCTTGACTGAGGAAAAATTATCTTTTGTCTGGGCAGTGGAACTTGAGGATTTTAACAGCGAAGAATTGTGTCGGCAGAGAACTGAGAAGGTCAAACAAAGCCACAGTGTTGTGAAGCAATCTGTCCTCGACAAGCAGTTCTGGATTCAAAGCGTGCAGGATGAAAAGCCACAGGCACAACAGAGGTCTCCTCTTGAGGATTCAAAGATACAACTCGACACTTGAAATACAAACCATGATCAGTTTAATGCAATTAACATATGAAATAACATCTAAACAAGGAATTTCTCTGTGGCATTAAACACAACCAACATTTTAAGGCAAGAAAATCCATGCACGACACATGCAGGTTCTCCTTTGGAGAAAAAGCCGCCTATTACAGCAGAGGCTGCTGCAAGCTAATCTGAATTTGCTTAATGGCTTCAGTCTTGCTGCTGAGTGATTTGGCTTGACTGTAGGTAAAAAGCCCTGCTCCACCCTTGCTCTCGTGGAAAGTTTATCACCCCAATAAAGACAGACTGATCACTGCACTGGAATCCACAGGCAAATTCTGCTATTTCAGCAGTACAATGTCTTGGAAAAAATTCAAGCTGAGCACAGCAAAAACCTAGCCTAGAATTTCAGAGATTAAAGCATCGTGGCTGGAAGGAGAGCAAATGCAGACATCAAAGCTGAAAACTCAGACTTTGCTTCCACTGCGCTCCCAAGCAGCCACACGACTCCGGCCCTGGGTTTCCCAAGATGCTAAAACTCTCACTGCTCCTGCGGGCTGCCACCAAAAGGATCCATGCCATCCTCGTTCCACCCTCACCCGTCCCACCGCCTCCCCGTGCTCGTGTGGCCAAGGAATAAGTTGGATCAACCCACAAAAAAGCCTGGTGTCTGCTTGAGCTTGAACACAAGAACAGGAACAGTAACAAACAGCGGGACTACTGCTCTTGGAGAGCGCTTCATTTGAGCTGGACTGTCAGCAGGGAACTACACCTTTCAGCAAATTTCAGATCAAGCATCCTGGCTGATTCAAGTAGTGCTGTCTTGCTGCCACATGCTTTATAGCATGACTAATGGTCCTAATAACTTGTCAGACATCCAGCAAACTCCAACAAGCCACGGCAGTCCAGGCATCAGGTGTACAAATCGTACAGACAGTCCAAAGCCATTTCCAGGACTGCTTCTGAAATGGCGACTGGCAGAGAGATGCCAATCACAGGTTACGCCCAAGGGAAATCAGGTTTTGCAGCACCTGCCCCACATGGAAGGCATGGAAAGCGGAAACCATCTGCCGTGGCAGAGAATACATACTGATGCTCTGTATGTGAGCATCATGAGAGGCTATGAATAAACCGCGTGCAACAGCGAGCAGCCCAAAATACACCCAAGAAGAGACAAGGTAGGAAGTGCAGGAAGCTACACGTGGCACCTGCATCAGTGGAAGCGCAAAAGCCAAGTCCCTGTACATCATATCACCAGGAGACAGATGCAACTTGTGAAAACTAAACGATACTGGTAGCTTCTGAATCACTGATTTTTTTTGCTTCTATGGGAGACTGGTTTCCACTGCACTTAGACGTAGTGTGGCCAAATAAAAGAGAAG